AGTCTCCTGCCTCAGCCTCCCAAGTAGCTGGGACTGCAGGCGCCCGCCAAAGCACCTGGCCATTTTTTGGTTGCAGCCATCATTGTTGTTTGGCGGGCCCGGGCTGGGGATTCGAACCCTCCACCCTAGGTGTATGTGGCTGGCGCCTTAGCCACTTGAGCCACAGGCGCCAAGCCACTAATCTGTATCTTTAGCCAGATCTCTGCACAGCAGAATTACAACTGCCACCTCCACTTGGGTGTCCTGCAGGATCCTCAGACTGAACTTGTTACCACTGACTCCTTTGTAATCCTTATATCTAACCACTCACTCCATTGTGTTCATTTACTCTGGAAATGTCCCACTAATATAGATCTCTGTGTTTACTGGCGCCCATCATGAATTAAGGTCCTCCTCACCTCTGAATAATAGGAATAGCCTCATCCCTATTCTCCTTGTAACTGTTCTTTTCTTACTAGTTCATCCAACCGAGCAATCTTCCCCCCAAATTACTCTAATAAAGCCACTCTTTTATTAAAAATTTTCATCAGGCCGGACATGGTGGCTCACTTTGGTAATTCTAGTACTCTGGGAAGCTGAGGTGGGTTGAGCTTGTGAGACCTCATTTCTAAAAAGAACCGGGTACCTGTAGTCCCAGCTACTTTAGAGGCTGAGGCAAAAGAATCTCTCTCTTTTTTTTTGGCCGGGGTTGGGTTTGAACCCACCACCTCCAGCATATGGGGCTGGCACCCTACTCCTTTGAGCCACAGGTGCCGCTCTCTCTCTCTCTCTCTTTTTTTTTTTTTTTTTTTTGAGACAGAGTCTCAGTTTGTAGCCCTCAGTAGAGTGCCATGGCATCACAGCTTGAGCAATGTCATACTCTTGGGCTTAAGCAATTCTCTTGCCTCAGCCTCCCAAGTAGCTAGGACTACAAGTACCTTCCACAATGCCTGGCTATTTTTAGAGACAAGGTCTCGCTCTGGCTCAGACTGGCCTCAAACCTGTGAGCTCAGGCAATCCACCCACCTTGCCTCCCAGAGTGCTAGGATTACAGGCTTGAGCCACCATGCCTGGCCTGCAAGAGAATCTCTTGAGCCCAAGAGTCTGAGGTTGCTCTGAGTTGTGACAACACCACAGAACTCTACCCAGGGTGACAGAGTGAGACTGTCTCAAAATAATAATAATAAAATAAAAATCTTCATTGGTTCTTTGTTACCTACAATTGAAATCTAAACTTCTTCCCATGGCATACAAAGCTTTTCAGAAAAAGGCAGACAGCGAGCCTAGTGGTTAAGTCAAACTGCCGGGGGATAAATTTTGGCTTTCACTTAATAGCTATGTGGCCTCAGACAAGCTTATTTACTTTTCTGTTCTGTTTCCCATGTGAAAAATGAGCACAATAATTCTACCCTATCTGATAGGTTTGTTGTAAGGATTACATGAATTAATACACATAGAACAGTGCCTGGCACATATTAAAAGCTGCTATTATTTCTAAATCTAGGGCAACTTATCTTTTAAATCTCCTCTGCCAATTCATCATTACCCAAACCTCATTCTCAAGCCATATTTAAATGTTCGCATTTTCCCAAACCCACCATGATCTACCCTTTCATTATTTTGTTCCTTTTCTTTTTTTTTTTGAGACAGAGTCTCACTATGTCACCTTTGGTAGAGTGCCATGGTGTCACAGCTCACAGCAACCTCAAACTCTTGGGCTTAAGCGATTCTCTTGCCTCAGCCTCCCAAGTAGCTGGGACTATAGGCACCCGCCACAACACCCGTCTATTTTTTTGTTGCAGTTGTCATTGTTGTTTAGCAGGCCCGGGCCGGGATCGAACCCGCCAGCCTCGGTGTATGTGGTTGGCACCATAACCACTGTGTTACGGGCACCGAACCTATTTTGTTCCTTTTCATATGATTTCTCTTCTCCTTGGAATTCCTTCTCCACTTTGCTGCTTAATGAATTTATTTCAAGAAAGAGGTGAAGGGTGTTAGTCACTCTGCAGTCTTCTCTATAAGGCTCAGTTACATTTTTCTTTATGTGTATTCTTTTTTTAAACTGTATACATTTATAGGGTACAATGTGATAATTTGATATAAAATGTAAAATGCTTATACTGATTAACATAACGATCACTTCACTTATTTTTTGTGGTAAAACATTTATAATATACCATTATAATACGCTTTTTTTTTTGAAACAGAGTTTCAAGTTGCCCTTGGTAGAGTGCCATGATGTCACAGCTCACAGCAACCTCTAACTCTAGGGCTTAAGCAATTCTCTTTCCTCAGCCTCCCAAGTAGCTGGGACTACTTGGCCCCCTTGGCCAGCCAAGTGGTCACAATGGCCAGCTTTTTTTGTTGTTGTTGCAATTGTCATTGTTGTTTTAGCTGGCCCACGCCGGGTTTGAACCTACCAGCCTCAGGGTGTATGTGGCCAGCGCCCTGCCCATTGAGCTCCAGGCACTGCCCCTATTAGTTTTTATGAAATGTACCCTTTGGCTCGGCGCCTGTGGCTCAAGCGGCTAAGGCACCAGCCACATACACCTAAGGTGGCGGGTTCGAATCCAGCCC